TTTAAAACAAATATAATGCCAAAGGAATATCAAATACCGATTGTGCGGTTCATCTGCAGTGAGACATAGAGAGCCGGTGCTCATTGAGAGGACACTGTTGTTGCAACTCATCCAACAGTTTCTCTTCGAGATCCCTGTCATCGACGGTCACAATAAGAGTCGCCGTTTGGGGCAATTGTTGTGAAGTATTGGCACAGTTGGCACTCAATTGCATATTCGTGGGCACCATCTCCGACACCGAGCCCTGTATGGGATACGAGTAGATGTGGGCCTCACTTCTGGGGGCGCGAGGGGTGCGCTTAACGGTGGCGTAAAGGGGCTCATCGCCCATACGGAGGCCCACAAACTGTTGCCCTCCATTGCCCTCACCATTCATTTTGGGCAGCGTTTCGCCGCCGTTGGCACAGGTATGCGGTGTATTGTAAGGCGAGTTGGTATAAGTGGATCGACCGGATTTGCACGAACCCATGTGCGACATCTGCAACGAGTCCTGCTTTCGGCTATAGATCGAGCCGTTGCCCGAACTCTTGCGTAAGACTAGCGCCACAATCACCAGAAGTATGACAATCACCAGTAGAGTGATGGCCACCGGAATCACCAGCGAATACTCGTTGATGGTATGGTTGGCCGACTTGTTGGCCACGCCTCGGATCGTGTGGCCCGACGCCGCTCTCGGGTTCAGCTCATGGCTCTCCGGATGCGTTGAGAACGTGTATTCGGCCTCTGATTGGTTGAAACGAGATAATAATTACGACACAATTTTTGATAATGGATTCAATTCAGTGGTGACATTACCTGTGAAGCCGACCTCGTTGTTGGCCGTGATCTGGAGCTGATATCTGGAGTTCATATTAAGTCTATTCAACTCAATTTGCTTGTCGTGGAGGCCGTGGTTGATGTCAATCCAGTCGGCGCTGGGGTTGCCTAACATGCGGTACCGGATCTTGAATTTATTAATGGGACATCCACCATGGTGCCACGAGTCCAAATGCACCTGTGCTGATGTCTTGTTCATCGACACCACCGATGCCTTATCGGGTGCCACAGGAAGTGCTCTGAAGTATAAGAAAAAATTCAAACAAAAATATGAGTTATAAAATATCGATATAAATGTATCGCTAGTAAAGGGAGAGAGAGAGAGAGAGAGATGAAGAAAAAAGTTGTTAATATATTTTGTTGGTGTGAAAAATGTATTTTTCTTTTGGTTTCAAACAATTTGTATGATTTATGGCATAGGATTCACAGACACTGCGAAAGAAAAAGCATAGTGAAAGTGAATGGAAAGACAAACTACCCGTCAGTCTTGACTGTGACCACGTCTGACGGCTCTCCTCTGCCGATCCTATTGAAGGCAATCAAATAAAATTGATAACGAGTTCCGCACTTGAGATCAGTGGCCGTATAGAAGGCCTGTTGGCCTACAATACGGATCTCTTTCCACTCGGAAGACGAGTCTTGTCTTTGAAAGATTACGTAACCATCGATAGGATTGTCGTCGTCGACGATCGGATCCCACGCCAAGTGTATGGACGACCCGGAGCTCGACGTCACCTGTATTTGCGGCGAAGTCGGTGCGTCCATCTCTACACACGTTATAACCCATATATTAATTAATTATTACTAATCAATGATATGTTAATACAAAACAACCAATTTATAGCACAATTCAATACCTAATGTCTGGATCTTTAACTCTTCAGAAGCGGGACCTAAACATAACGACAACGAAAAGTGAAAGATATAATTATAATTAAGATATAAAAGTCAATTAAGAAGTTAAGTATACAATACCTGCGCCTTTCGTATTGAACGCCTGGACAACGATTGAGTATTGAGTGAATTGTTTTAAACCATTGAGAATCACTTCCTCGCGGTTTCCGTCTCTGATCTCAAGAGTCTTATACACGTATTGACTGTTTGTGCCGAATATCTTATAACCGATATAATAGCCGCGAATGACTCCGTGCTGTTGTTCAGCGTTTGGCGGATCCCACGTAACGGATATCGATCGCGAAGATATGGCACCGACTTTGATGTTTGTCGGCGGACTTCCCGGCGATTCTTCTTCAGTAATCACTTCAATGGTTCTGTTAAACGAAAAAAAAACCAATCATTAGTTAACACATACAACCACTAACTGAACACTGGGTGCGGCACATATACAGCACGGGGTGTGGTAATTGTGTGGGGCATACAATACCTGCTCGGATCACTTCGACCAATATGATTTTCAGCGATGAGCCGGAAATAGTAGAGCAGAGCCGGTCTGAGACCCACAATCTGACCGATTGTTTCGCCGGCGGGAACCGTAACGTTGAGCGCCGGCGACCAGTTGGAGAGGTCAGCGCCGGGCGCTCCCGTCCTATACTGTATATAGTAGTGAGTGATCGGAGAGTTACCCGAATAGGGCGGAGACCACGAGATCTTTATTGAGCGACTCGTGATCTCTAAAACCTGGAGCTCTTGGGGCGGATCCGGCGGCTCCTGTACTATAAGCTGTATATTCGTGTCGTCAAAGCCAAAGGCATTGGACGCCACGCATGTGAATAGTGAACTGTCCCGTCGGTCGGCCTTTTTGATGATCACTTCGGAGACAATGCCTTTGGCGGTAATACTTTCGTTGAGCTGATACCTGTTGTCCACTGTATTGGCACCGATACCCGTGTCTGTAATCATGTCTATCTTCTCGATCTTCTGCTTATCCCGAGTCCATGTGATGCCAATGGGTTTGTCTCCCAGGGCTTCGCACTTCAGTTTAATGTTATGCCCTTTTCTAACCATTTCTGCCGTGAATTTGGTTTTGAAATGAGCGGCGACTGCGAGAGAGAGAGAGTGAGTGAAGAGAGACACAGAATATTACACACAAATTGATCACAGAATTCATTGACAGTGTGTGTGTTGTGTACAGAATATGTGATATAGAAATGACAAATATATTGCAAATTTATATAACATTTTCTCTCCATTTTCACAATAAGTGAACATTAGATGGAAAGTGAAAGGAGAAGAAGAAACAAAAATATTTCACATAATAAGTAGTGTAACAGAAAAAAGGGAGAGAGAAATAAAAACCTGAACACAACTTTCAGGACTCGGAATACAAATGTGTTTCACATTAAATATCATTCAAACGGTGTGTATATATAGGGAGTGAAAAGTGAATTAAATTTAATCGCATCAATAAAAGTATAATAAAATACTATAAAAATATCAAAAATATAATATTATATCTATAAAAATACGATTCCGACGCCGACGGAGACGTCGGGTCAACACAAATGTATAGCGAAATAATAAAAATACATTTCGATAATATATTTTCATGAGTTTTTATTCACCATATTTGTGAAATTATTAATACAAAATGTTTCTACACTTTGAAAGTTGTGTTCTGAAAGAGAGAGAGAGAGAGAGAGAGAGAGAGAGAGAGAATTATGGCTTTTGAAAATTTATTTTATTTTCATCGCCAAATGCTTCAAAATAGGCGTCAGAAGAGTTATAAAAA